TCTATGCCTATAAAAAAGTCTGTTGGTAATTGATAGACACTGCATTCAATTTGTAAATCAATTGGAATGAATTGCTTTCTTAATATTAAGCCTTCCAATCCATGAATACAGAATATCTTTACATTGATTTCTTTTAACAATGTTTTGTAGCTTTGAACATATGTGTACACATTTTGCATTTTTTGGTTAAATGTATTTCTGAGTACTTAATTATTTCTGATGCCATTGTAAATGGAATTGTTTTCTTCATTTCATTTTTGGATTGTTCATTGTATGTATAGAAATACAATAAAATGGATTTTTCTATACTAATTGATCTTTTATCCTACAACATTTCTAAACTCATTTTTTAGCTCAAATAATTTTTGTGTGTGGATTCTTTAGAGTTTTCTATAAGTAAGATCATGTCATCTGCAAATAGAGTTAGTTTTACATCTTCTTTTGTAACCTGGATGCCTTTCATTTTTTGTTTTCTTGCCTAATTGCTGTGTCCAGAACCTCCAGCACAATGTTGAGTAGAAGCCACAAGAGAGGACATTTTTGTCTTGTTTCCAATCTTAAAAGGAAAGCTTTCATTCTTTCACCATTAACTATGATGTTAGCTCTGAATTTTTGACACATCCTTTATTAAGTTGAGACAATTCCCTTTTATTCCTAATTTTTCAGAATTTTCCATCTATTGAGATTATCATGTGGGTTTTGTCCCCCCTTTATTTCATGTGGGATTTTTTCCCCCTTTCTCTATTTGTATGCTGTATTATTTGATCGATTTTCATGTTTAAACAGTCTTGCATTCCTGGGATAAATTCCGATTAGTCATGGTGTATAATCATTTTTATATGCTTGTGGATTCAGTTTGCTAGTAATTTGTAGAGGATTTTGCCCCTATAATCATAAGATATATTAGTCTGTCGTCTTCTTTTCTTGTGATGACTGTCTGGTTTTGCATTAGGTTAATATTCACCTCACAGATTGACTTAGGATGTCCCCTTTGCTTCTGTGTTTGGAAGTGCTTGTGAATAATTGGTGTTCCTTATTCTTTAACCATTTGGTAGAATTCAAGTTAACCCAGCTGATCTTGGACTATACTTTCCCGGCACTTTGTTGATTATTAACTAAATCTCCTTATTGGTATAGCCTAGTCATATTTTCTATTTCTTCTTGAGTCAATTTTGGTAGCTAGCGACTTTCTAAGACTTTGTCTTCTTTCGTCTAGGTTATTTCATTTATTGGAATAGATTTGTGTATAATGTTTCCTTATAATCCTTTTACAGAACAGGTTTTACATTAATGTTTGATGTGGGTGTTTTTCCACCATATGGTTGATGTGAATTTCAACCAAACACATATGCTTGGCACAGGCTTTCATTTCTCACAAGTGACTTTTGTCTTTCATACATATACCAAGTGACTTAAGATTCTTTCCTGCTTATTTGGGCTGGTGGTGCGGTTTAGTATCTTTTCCACAGATAGGGGCTATAATTGAAGGCTCCAAACATTATACATCTGGTTCAGTTTAGTTCCCTTAGTACAGTATGCCAGAGATTGTATCTCCTCGCCCTGCTGAGTTTGAAAACCCATAGCTCTTAGCTTTAGCTTGTTTTTCCCGTGTATAGTAAAATTTTGTCATAAGCTCAAACTTATCTTTAACATTCTTAATTTGAATCCATGCTTTACTTCTAGCAATCATAATTTCCTTTGCTTTTAAGGTAGGCTATGTGTTGAAAAATTTTTTGGATAAATCTTAGCCTTGATTTTCTGCATATATAGTTTTGAATTCTATTGAGAATGTCAAGCAGATATTTTTCAATGGTTTACATCTGTTTTAGAGAGCACATATTTTTCAAAATATGTACTTTATTTGCATATCAAATGGTGAGTTTTTCATTATGTTTTATTTTCATTTTTTTTCTGCTTATGTGTCCATAGATGAGGAGCCAGCCGTATGGGTGGGCTTTAAAATTTAAACACAACAGTAAGGATGGCTTCTCTGTAGTTTTATTCATCAACCACAGCCAGGTTGTTATTAGAACCTCTCTAGTAAGGATCCTGGAAGAAGTACAAGGTACACACTGACATTACCTGTTGATCCAACGCCCTGCTAGCAGTGGGGGCTAAAACATAATCACAGCCTGAGCAGTACGCGCTTTTCTCGTCTGTCTGATCCAGCTGCTACTCCTGGATCCTATTTTCTGTGACATGCCTTTTCCTTTGTCCTTGCTACCATATCAATTACAAGCTGTGACAATGACCATTCTTCTTTTGGCTGGAAATTTTGCTTGCAGTTAAGTCTAAATTATAGTGTATGTGGTATATTCACCACATACAGTGTGAGACTTCCCTGAGTCACACTTCCTATCAGCTGTGTGGCAGTACACAGGTGATGTGCTTTTTGATCGCCATGTGGCTCAGATCAGCCTTCTGCACTCTCACTTTCAGGAAGCGACAGTTGAGTGGCATTATGCCAGGGGTCCTCTTAATTTCCAGAAGTGTTTTATGTAGGCTACTACTTTCCAGTTTTTTTTTTTTTAAAGATTTTATTGGGGAATTGGGAGAGGGGAACAGTGTTGGGGAATCAGGGAGGGGAGCAGACAAGGTGATGTTCTTTGGTTCTTCAGTCTAGTTGTGGAGGACGTTGCCTCACTGGCCCATGTTGGTATTATCGTTGCGCTCTTCCCGGGTGAGGCAGATCAGTCTCCAGCTTCTGGATGGTCGCTCACAGCGGCTACTGGCCACTCACACTGGCTGCTGGCTACACACTGTATCCCATGGCAACCCACTGCAGCAGGGGCTGCAGCCTATGCCGTCGCCGGTGACTCACGGCAGCCCAGCTCCAGGTTGAGTTGTTGATCAGCATCTTAGCTGCAGAGGACAGTGTCACTGGCCCTCATGAGGGATCCGAACTGGAGTCCTGCTGCTCAGAGCTGGCATCCCAAGCCAGCTCTTAACCAATGCGCCACTCAGCCGGTCCTACTTTCCAGTTTTATTTGTGTAATTGTCACCATACTCAAGTTCTTGTAACTGCTTACAAGCGTTCTCAATATTTCAGTGGTTGGTATTCTGTGAGGAGGATGTTAAATGTGATTGATAAATTTAATCATCTTATTCAGTAGTTAAAGCATTTGTGTTTCTGATGGAAAAATGGAGCCAAGAATTTCATAAAATAAAGTAACCCATCTCCTATTTTGAATTTTTCAGGTAATGCTTTACATGTAGTGAACACTCATAAAATTTTGTTTTTACTTGAGTGAATTAACCTTATTGGTTTCACATAAAATTTTTTTATGAAACAATATCTTAAACTTTTAAGCACAGTGTTAAAAGTTAAAGTTAACATTATTATTTCTTATTATAAAAGTAATGTGAATGTATTACAGAAAATTGATGGTGCAGAAAAATTTTGCCAAACTAAGATAACCGTCATTAACTTTTCCATAGGCATATTTATATATTTAAAAACAAAATTGTGATTATTTTAAACATAATGTTCTGTACCGTCATTTCACTTAACTTATTATGAACATTTTCCTTTGGTATTAAATTTTCTCCTAGCTGTTTCATAATGTAATATATGATATTAGAAGTTTGAAAACTATGTTATATTTTTCAATTTCATGAAAAGGGTGATGAAGAGTATTTAACATTTTTCCATGATGACGCCATGTCATCTATGCTATGTTACAACAGAGTTATGCCTCTGAAAATTTCTGTAAGATATTAGCATTTGATTTTTACTCTCTGTGGGTTTATTTTTTCACAATTTGATGTTAACTGATGTTGACGACCTTATGTTAGTCTCTTGGGATTTTCCCCCTCACTTTCAAATTTTCCACACAGAAGTGGATTGGGATTTAATTTTTTTTTTTGATTCATACATCCTGATGATGCATTTGTTTCTGCTACTGATTAGCTGTGTGACTTTGGGTTGTTGCTTAACCTAGGCTTCCTCATCTTAGAAATGGTCCTAGAAATAGTACCTTCCACATAGAATTGTTGTGAGGAGTAAATGATTAAATAAACTCACGTATAATTCATGTAGACCACCTAGTATGCTATATGGCAAAGGGATGATATTTACAATATTTAAAAACTGATGCTATATGTAAACTGATCAATCGGAATAGATGCCAGTGACAAAAACAACTGGAGTTGCCTTAACGTTGGCTTTCCTGGCTCGTGTGAGAGCTCAGTTAAATGCCATCTGAGTTGTAATACGGATGAAAATGATTATGTTGTTGACAGTGAGGATGATGTTTGGGCAAGCATGGTAAACTAAGTCAATATTATGATAAATAGGCACCAAAGACATGAGCTTTCATGTATGAACTTTATCTCTCATCTGAAATTCTTGAATTCTGTTGTAATATTAATATAAAAACATATTAAAGCTCATATTAGGAAGGCACAAAAAACTCATGCTTTAAATCTGATTCCATTAGTTCACAAACACATAGAATTTCAATTAAGCCTTGAAGCTTTTCCTGCCCAAAGAAGATAAATATTTATGTAAATTAATGAAAAAGTTCTATTTTTGTTCATTTTACACTAATGTAGTTTCTTGAAGTAAGGACCTATTGCCACACAATTTTCTATATTTATTGATCCTTTGTTATTATGTGTGGATATAATTAAGATGAATTTTAACATTCTTTATCAAATCTGTATTATTCATTCTTGTGTTTATGTAATTTAATAGACATAATATTAACCTGAGTCTTTAAGGACTATGTTAAAAAGTATTCCCTCCTTAGCTTTAACTTTTATATTCAAATTTATCTCTTAACTCCTACGTTTTACAGAGTGTAAGGTAACATTTCAATACAGTATTATCCTGCAGTAATATGTTGAGCCACATATGTTAGACATTAAAACAACTTGGGAAATGTCTTTTGGACTTGTGCTACCATTCAGATTTTTAAAATCAGTTCTTTGTCTTGATATTGATTATAATGGATATTGTTGTATAGATTTGTAATTTTTTTTTTTACTATTTACTTTAGCTTGCCAGTGTAATGGACATAGCACTTGCATCAATAATAATGTGTGCGAACAGTGTAAAAATCTTACCACAGGAAAGCAATGTCAAGACTGCATGCCAGGATATTATGGAGATCCAACCAATGGAGGACAGTGTACAGGTAATTATCTTTTCTTTTACTTAAGACTTTTTATTTTTTTCCCTACAGAAAAGAAAATCGAGAAAGATAAACTTGTTGTGGAAAATATATTTTATTAAATCAAATTTTTTCATTGTCAGTTTTTTTGGAAGGGAATTTGTACTAGGGATTATGTAAACTATAAAAATTCTGTTTTATACTTGCTTTAAAAATATGTTAATTTTTCTAATTTCGAAATGAATACGTGTTTATTATAGGAAATTTATCAAGTACAGATAAATTAAAATGAAAAATTACCTATAATCTCACTATTCAAAAATAATCACTGCTGATAGTTTGTTTTTTTATAATAGTAATCTATTATTTTGACTTTAGAAATAAGTAATAATTAAAGTAATAAATAAGTAATAATAATTAAAATAAGTGCATGCCTTACATCAGGTAAGTTTTTTTTTTTTTTTTTTTGGACAGGGTGGTAGTTGTAGCATAATGTTTAAGAGAATGGGTTTGGAATCAATCCTGGGCTGAAATCCCAACTCTGCCACTGTTTATATGTATGACCTTGGCTCATCAACTTAACCTCTCAGTGCCTCCGTTTCCTCATATGTGAGAAAATATTTCATTGGATTGTTGTAAAGATCAAAAGCGATCATCTGTAATAGTGGCACGTGTAATAGGAATTGAAGCTAATTAAAAGAGCATTTAAGTGCTAACTATTATTTCCACATTTTCATTCACTAAACCCAACTTTTCTCTATTTCCTTGTCTATCCCGCTCCTTCATGATCCTACTTTTAAAAGAACTTTTGGTGTTTCCTTAAAAAATCTTTCCTTTTATATTGTAATTTTATAGTAATCCTTCTTTATCTCTATGTTGGTCTTTGTCCAACCTTTAAGTTTTTTATCTACTTTTCTAAATGGAGATTGTCTATGTAGCACCCACAGAATGGCCTCAGCTGTTGGCTATGAAATGATGAGAAATCTTTAAAGAGGGGGTTGGGCCTAAGATTGGTCTACATAAAATTTTCAACACTACCTACATATTAACACTACCTGGAGAGCTTTTAAAAAATATGCATGTCTGGTCCATTCCCTAAAATAATTAAACCAGGATCTGGGTTGGGGTTATGGGGTGATTCTTGGGCATTGGTTCTTGTCTAAGGCTCCCCAAGTGACCACCATGCACTCGGTGGAGAAACACAGGCAACGATGGGCTCAGCCCCCGAGTCACCCAAGTTGCTCAGATAGTAGCAGGTTTGGTGCTAACTGAAAACAGTTGATGCTCTGAGATATGGAATACTCTGATGTGTTTGAAGCGCTGATACAGATGAATTGGCCGACATTTTTTGTTTTCTGTGTTCTAGGCACTGTACTCATAGCTTTATATTCATTATTTCATTTCAGCTTCACAGCAACTGTACGGGAGGGATCCCTTTTATTCCCATTTTACATACAGACCGAAATACATAAAGAAGTTAAGTAAAATACTGACGATCACACTGCTCGTCAGGGGAAGAAAATGTCTGATTCGTAGGCCTTGCCCTTAACTCTTGATGCAGAAGTTACGTTACTATGGACAGGGAGGGTCCAAGGAGCCCTTAGCCCAGAGCCACAGCTCCGGAGTGTACAGATACGGGCGCAGGGGAATCCAGAAAATTTAGATTCCACCTGTTGGAGTCATAATATTTTGATATTTTATGTTTATGAAGTAAAAATATCAAGGATTGGGAGCCATCTGTTTTTCAGAGCTTTTTATGACTGAATTTTCTATTGGACAAAAAAGTATATTTTAGATAGGTTATTTATGTTAGCAACCATCACCTCAGACTAGTTGCAAAACATTTTTGTCACCTTAACGTAAAACTCCACAGTTAGTAAGCAGTGATTTTATTCCCTAGCTACCATTAATGTGCTTTCTGTCTTTATGAATTTACTTACTCCAGATATTCATACCAGTTACACATACATGTAACCTCTTGTGACTGGCTTCTTTTATTCAGCGTTTTGTACATATATACCAATTTGTTTATCCATTTATCCATCGATGGACCTTGAATTGTGTCTACCTTTTGGCTATTGTGAATACTGTTGCTATGAACATGGGTGTACAAATACTTATTTGAGTCCCTGTGTCTTTTCATGTGCTTATTGGCCATTTATATATCTTCTTGGAAAAGTGACTATTCAAGTTCTTTGCCTGTTTTTAATTGAGTTATTTGGTCTTGTTACTGATAGTTGTTGAATTCTAAGAGTTTATGTATTCTGGATATGAGGCCCTTATCAGATATGCGATTTGCAAATATTTTCTCTTATTCTATAAGAATGGGAGAAATTTTCACTTTTTTGATAGTGTCCTTTGAAGTATAAAAGTTTTAAATTTTGATGAAGTCCAATTTATCTGTTTTTTCTTTTGTTGTTTATGTTTTTGATATATATCTAATAATCCATTGCCAGATACAATGCCATGTAGACTATTAAAGTATTATTTTAATGTTTTACCAACATGGGTAAAATGAACATTTTAATAACTGTATTAGCTACAAAATGTTTTAGATTAGAAGGGTTGTAAGTTTTATCATTCCAACAGTCATCGTGCTTTTAGAAATATGTCCCCCTTTGGGGATGATACTTCTCTGCTAGGTTTAAGACTAGTTTAGTTATTCCATATTACTTTTTGTGACGGACATTACACATCTGGCAAGCTGAGGCACAGTGCAATGGAAAATTGAAGGGGATGAAAGATAAATGCCTATTTAATCACCGTTGCATAGTCTCTGGTAGTTTATGAAGCTTTAAATAATTCCTTATAGTTTTCTTGTTTTCTAAAGTTGGCAGGATAATATTTTGCTGCCTGTGATTTCTCTATGGTGATGTGATCTATGCAAGTCATTTTTATTTCTTAGGACCATATTAACTGTCTAACTAAATAAACAATATGTCACAATGGGGGAATCATTTTTAATGTAGCATTGGCTAAAATCAATTTATAAAACATGGAAAGTATAACTTTCTTACTGTGTCTTCACTTTCAGTTCGCCTTACTGAGAAAAGTTTATTTTTTATTAGTAGATGCATGTATTAAAGTCCAGGGCCCATGATGATATTAAGGGAAAGAAGGAAATAGATTTATATTTGAGTGGTGAAGCTTTAAACCTGTACTACAGAGTTAGATACTGTTCTTAAAATTTGGTCTCCTAAAGCCAATTTAACATTAATTTCAATATTATATAAATGTGCTTGTAATTTTTCCTCAATTATTTTTAGGCATATTTATGGCTATTCTATTATTACAATTAGATATTTAGTGTTTTATTAAAAATATTTTATTTCTTATTACTGTTCAGGAAGATTCTCTGATACAAACTTGCCCTGGGGCTACCATCCATCCATCCATCCATCTTTGTAGTTATGAAAGAACAAAACTGTTAAGAGCTTGGGCTTTGGAATCATACTACTTGGGTCCATGTCCTGGTAATTCCAGTGTCACCTTGGGTATTATTTAACTTTTTATTGTCTCAGTTTCCACACCTGCAAACTATGGCTAATTTAATTTATTGTGAGGTTTAATGTTTTGTTTTTTTTTCTTAGCTGAGCCATCCTGCCACCTGTTGGCAGCTCAGCGGCAGCTCAACTCAGGCTCAGAGCTGGCACTCTTGAGCGAGCTCTTAACCAACTGAGCTACTCAGTGGGCCCTATTGTGAGGTTTAAATGAGGCACTTTACATATGGAATAATGTGTCTTTCCGGCAGATGTGAACTCTGTAATGCTAACTATTGCGAATAGTATTTTGTTTTTTTAAAGATTTTTTTTTTTTTAATTGGGGATTGGGGGATGGCAACAGTGCTCAGGAATTGGGGGAAGGGAAACAGACAAGTTGCTGTACTTTTGTTCTTCAGTCTAGTTGTGGAGGACGATGCTTCACTGGCCCAAGTTGGCACCATCATTGCACTCTTCCTGGGCGAGGCACATCAGTCGCCGGCTTCTGGACAGCCGCTCACTATGGCTGCTGGCTACACACGGTAGCCCATGGCAACCCACTGCCACAGGGCTGCAGCCTATGCCAGTCGCCGGCGACTCACAGCAGCCCAGCTCCAGGTTGAGCTGTTGTTCAGCATCTTAGCTGTAGAGGGCAGTGTCACTGGCCCTCATATGTGGGATCCGAACCGGGGCCCTCTGGTGTCCCAAGCCAGCTCTTAACCAACGTGCCACTCGGCTAGCCCTAGTATTATTATTTATAACATCAATGGGCTTAAGAATGTTAATACAAAAATATGATTAAGACTTTTGGCAGTAGCATTTTTATCATGTTTTCTCCAATCTGATTTATAAATTGTAAAGGAAGTAAGTGAAAATTTCTTTGGATAGAAGAGGAGCTCAGTGTACTGCACTGAGTCAACACTCAGTGCACCATGCTACTTTGCAATGAAGGCTTATCCTTGAATCCCACAAATATTGAGTACCTACTGATGTGCAAGTTACTGTGTTAGGACTGAAATTTGTATACATTGTGTGGGTGTTATAATAGTGTGATAAAGAAACTGAGTTATAGCATCACAAAGAGATTAACTCTGATGGAAGGATCTGGGTAGGCCCTTGAGAGTTGAGGGCAATTTATGATTTTTAATTTTATGTGATTATCATGAGTTGCATGTTTTCCATTATAATTTCTTCTAAATATAAGATAACTAAGCTATAATGTTATTAATCTTAAAAATATTTTAATATCTTTACATGTATGTTTTAGTCAATTATTTATAAAAAAGATGTACTTTAGAGAGGAAAAAAAAACCCTCTCTAAATAATGAAATAAACAGACATTTTAAAAACTGTAGTCTTGTATGAGTAATAGTTTCCTTAAACTAGTTTTTACTCTTTTTGGTTAGCTTATTACAAGGTGTTTAATGGGTTTAGTTGTAATTATGAATATACTCTTAATATTTTAGCATTGTATTCATAATTGATTTTAGTAAAGTTTAGCTCTACATTTATTCATTTATGTTTTTTTAGTTCATTTTGTTCTTTCTTTTGGTTCTTGAGTAGTATACTTATTTGGTATTTCTTTAGATTTTTTTTTTTATTGGGGAATGAGGGGAGGGGAACAGCGCTGGGGAGTCAGAGGAAGGGGAACAGACAAGTTGCTGTCCTTCTCATTCTTCAGTCTAGTTGTGGAGGACATCGCTTCACTGGCCCATGTTGGTATCATTGCGCTCTTCCTGGGCGAGGCAGATTGGTTGCCGGCCTCTGGACGGCCATTCACGGAGGCTCTTGGCAGCTCACACCGGCTGCTGGCCACACACGGTAGCTTATGGCAACCCACTGCAGCAGGGGCTGCAGCCTACGCTGTCACCGGTGACTCATGGCATCCCTGCTCCAGGCTGAGCTATTGTTCACCATCTTAGCTGTAGAGGGCAGTGTCACTGGCCCTCATGTGGGATCCGAACCAGGGCCCTGCTGCTTAGAGCTGGTGTCCC